TCAGAACTCGGAGCTCCACGTCGTCACTCAGAAGACGATGCGTTCTCCAATGGCGTGCATGGAAAAGTTACTAAAACACAACTATTTTTAACTATTAATGTTAAATTCTAAAATATTAAACATGGGTGTCAACCAGTTTTTGTGATTTGCGGCTATAATCTTTACAACCAAGTCGTTCCAATGTTAGCCTAATACTCCTGCTCCTAAACTTTTGTGTAATAAATTGAATACATCTGGTCTTTTCCAGAGGTTAGGTTTGTATATAGCCCAGTTAAACTTGAGAAGAACTCTTACCTTTTACTGGAATCCTTCCCGTACCAGCATATTGAGTTCGACATTATATTCTATATGTGATAATTAAAACTATATAGGCTAAAGTTTAGACACTGATTTCGACTGCATTGTTGATATGTCAAATTTCTGAGACTACGACTCTAGGAAATCTCTTTTGTTCTTCTCTTGTTGTTGATTAAGTTACCAAGTTACTTACTATTATTATGTTGTTATGTAATCGGATGAGCTAAGTACGTTGCACAACTATGTATAAACACATACAGTGCTTTTCTTTAATGCCCCCTCCCCTTTGATTTTTTGAACGGATTGATTCAAAAATTAAAACTTTAGGTAACGAAATTGATGCCGTGGATTTCATATTTTAGAGTAAGATTGAAAATGAAAATGTCTAGATGGCCGCTGGGCGCCATCTTGAAAAAAAGATTATAAGAAAACGGGGGTTTTGTGGCACATCATTTTGAAGCTCCTGACGAGTACTTTATAACAGTACGTTTACCCATTACAATATGGTAGTACATTTAATAACTATTTGAACACAAACCTACTAACACATATATCACTACAAATACCTAATTGTAATTCTCTGCAGTATCCACAGCAACACCGATAAAAAATTGTTTTGTTATTTTTTGTTGACAGTGACAAGAATATGAGTACGAAAGCAAATATCATTGTACAGTTAAAATATTTTTATTTTCGGTTTTAGTGCTAGATACTGTTTGAACTATCTTTAAAATGGTCAGTTGTCGTCTATTGGAAGAAAAAATCGAAGCAATTTTTATTTATGGTGCGACGAGTAACTTTCACGAGACTGAAAGGATTTTTAATGATCGTTTCCCCCATTGCACGGCATCCTACCTAATCCAAAATATTTGTTTTAGTGATGAGTGTACATATTTCTCAACGGTAATGAGCATAGACAAAATTGTCGTTATCGGAGTGACACCAATCCTCACGTTTCATACTCAATATCCACAAAAAATTAACGTTTGGGCTGGGATATTGGGAAGTCATATTGTGGGGCCTCTATTCATTGAACAAACTTTAACCGGAGAATTGTATTTACATATGCTGGAAAATACTATTGGCCCTCTAATCACCGAAATCGTCGAATGAATCCTAATGGATTCGATACTGATACTGTATTCCAGCAAGATGGTGCTCCACAATACTCCAGACAAGTTAGAAATTATTTAGATAACAATTTCCCCGGTCGTTGGATTGGCCATCGAGGTCCTGTGGAATGGCCAGCTCGCTCGCCAGATTTGACATCTTTAGACTTTTTTATGGGGGTATTTGAAGCAAATGGTATACGAAACTGAGCCTGCTTCAATATTGGATATACGGCTGAGAATAACAAATATTTGTAGAAATATCGATGTTACTATGTTTGAAAATGTTCGACGCGAAATTACAGACCGGCTGTTATTGTGTCAACAAGTTCAAGGCAACCATTTCCAGCATCTTCTAAACTAAACTCAACGTATTTATTCGAATTATCAAGTTAAATGTCAATGTATTCAGGTAATTATTAAATGGTCCACCATTTGGTAGTAGGTAACGGTATTGACTTTATATTCTAGGGTTATAAAGTACTCGTCAGGAGCTTCAAAATGATGTTCCACAAGACCCCCGTTATCGTATAATTTTTTTCCTAGATGGCACCCAGCGCCCATCTTGTCATTTTCAACTGTCAATTTTATTCTAAAATATGGTATCCGCGCATCAATTATATTACCTCATGTTTTATTTTTTTTAATTGATCCAGTCAAAAAATCAAAGGGTCCCTCCCCTTTGATTAAAGAAAAGCACTGTATATTCACATTAAGCACTGACTCGATCCTAAATACATCTTTTCACTACTAACCCAACAAATTACCATTATTAGGGCGGTCACCCTATACAAAAAGGTGACAAACAAAATAATACCTACGCCAGTAAAAAAAATCATTTGAAATTATACACTGCTGGTTCTGGATTAAACTAGCACGACATGACGATAAGCAAGCGGCAATTCTCTAAATATTTTGGATGCATGGATGAATATTATAGGTCTTTAGTTATTAGAGTCAATTAAGACATTTTGCTCTACAAGTAGCAACATGACGTTCATCTAAAAAAGGTAAATTTTTTTGATGAAAAGTTATAGTTATATTTTATATATCTATATATAATCCATTACATTCTGGTGATTATCAGAAAATTCCCTCTTTCCATCTACGCCAAGAGTTGATTAATCATAACGAGGGAGCAAACTGCGATTATTAATATCGGTCAGACAAACAATACATTCATTTGTCTACACGGACAATTACACATATATAGTTGATTGTTCTATAACGCTGGCAAAATCTCCCCTTCATGAGGTACGCAACTCCCTTTAGCTTCCGTTCTGCTTGCCTACATATCCTTGTCACGAAGAAGTGGCGTACTTCAATGTAAGATAAGGTCATATTGCAAGTTCCTTTTTCAGGGAATAAGATAGACTTGCCCACCATTGGTAGGTGGTGCTTCGTTACATACCCTTATCTTGTAAGAAGTGGAATTCTTGAATTGGTAGAGTAAGGGCATATTGCAAGATCCTTCTTCAGGTGACGGAGGTGGGAATAAGAAAGACCTGCGTACCATTGGTAAGTAGTGCATCCTTACACAGCCTTATCTTGTAAGAAATGACGTAATGCGTGCTTGAATCAAACGAAGGAAATTGCATAGGTGGTGCTTCCTTACACACCCTTATATTATAAGATGCGGCGGACTTGAATATAACGTAATAATGCATATTGCATATTGCAAGATTCTCCTTCGGGTGACGGAATTGGGAATAAGATGGATTTACGAACCATTGGTAAGTGATGTTTCCCTACATAGCCTCATCTTGTAAAAAATGATGTACTTGAACGTAAGGTAAGAGTTATTTCAAGATCCTTCTACGGGTACCACAGCTTAGGTATATTGTAAGAAGTTGGGTAGTTCGATGTAAGGTAAGGGCACAATCCATATTCATTTTCAAGCCGGTGACGGGCGTTTACGCGTATACATTAATGTCTACGTCTGGATGTATACAATGCGTATACATGAATACAATGTATACATTGCGTATATAATGAATACAATGTATACAATGATGAAGACAATGTATAGAATAGCGTAAGTGAGGTTAGGTTTATTCGCAAACGTCAGAAAGTTGGTAAACAGTGTTCCGACAACTTAAAAGAAAATATGGTTGGAAGCTCCAAGAACAAAGAAATCGATGAACTAGGGTTCATTTGTTGTTCTTAATTTATTTAAAACTGTATCTTTGTATACGTATATAAACAAAGATTATATATTCTTTCATTATTTATAAACTGCTTCCACAGTCAAACCAGTAATGCAATGTTGCAGAATTTTTATCTATCCTGAGCTTTCAGTTAAAATCGGAGAATCAGTAGGATCTACCTGGAATTGATCAAAAACAGAATCGACAGAAATGTGTATTTGAGCGTAGAAAACAAGGCGTTGCAGCAAGATACAGTTGTATTCTGTGGCCTTCATCACTGTTGTGCCAGGCAACGTGAAGCGTGGCGCACTCTTTCCACACAAGTGGTGCCCGCCTTGTCTGCCTCTCTCTCTTCCTGGTACGCGTGGAAATCTAATAGGGAAAGAGACTTTCGCCAGTACTATACGTAAGTAGTTGAACTATGATTTGCCATTGTATACATTATCAACATTGTATACGTGAATATCGAGATGTATATATTCACCATTCACCATTGTATACGCCTCAAACGCTGAAATCCGTCATTCCCTGAAATGTCTATTCAGCCCCGGTATTTCCGGCAAACACAGCAACAGTTTGATTATTGCAACGTCTGACTAAGCATTCCAGTTATTCCCTGTAATGACTGAACAATTTCAGTCAGACACCGTAAACACCACATTAACTTCGTTACGGCATTTGCTTGATTCAGTCATTCATTGAATCAGTTTTGTGTTCATTTGCTTGAGTATACACAACGACTTTTCTGTGTTTGTAAAAATGTTGTAGCATTCAGAATTGTTTTACAAGAAACTAAGTAAACATTATGATACTGTGAATAAGAAGAAACCATGGAATAAAATGAGTTAAGGGGGATAAGTTATTTTTTTTAACCTAAATTATAACGTACATAGGCTTGCTTAACAGCAGCATTTCGTATATATACTGAATACTTGATTAAAAAAACAATAATGTAATAATAAAGAAAACGTTTTAAGCTATTATTTTTTCCTTTTAGATTAATTCATGCTCGATTATTTTTCTTTTAATATTATTGTTATACCTATTATGTACTTCATTGGAGCAACACTGTATTGATTACAGCGTTTGACCAAAATAGGCGAATACAGTAACGAGGTTTATGTGATTGTTACCGTGTTTTTACTGAAATTGTTCAGTCGTTACAGGGAATGACTGAAATGCTTAGTCAAATGTTGTAAAACCAAATTTACGGTGTTTCCCGGCAATACGGGGACTGACTAGGCATTTCAGGGAATGGCGGATTTCACCGTTTGACGCCGACGTATACCATGCGCACATCACTGTTTCCAGCTGCCGGAGGTGAGAATAAGATAGACTTGCGAGTCACTAGTAGGGGGTACTTGCTTACATAGCCTCATCCAGACTATTGAAAGAAAGGGATGAGCGACATTAAAGGCAGACGTATCGAAATAGATTAACGTTATTTGTTCTTTATTGATCAATAATAAAAATATAAATACATTAAAATTACCCTAAATAATAACTGATAGTCTACCTTATCATCACAATTATAAAAAAATATCCCTAGAAAAATTAACAGGGTCCGTGTTTCCGAAGTTTTAAACTAAAATGTGATACTTCTTACAGTACGATGCAGAGGTTGGCCTATGTTATCACTAAATACAAATGAAAATTCTAATTACTCATTGTTTTTAGATATTCATTTATACAGGGTGATTCAGAAAGGCGTGATACTAAGGAGACACGTACATACAAAAATAAAAAAATATCCAACAAACATGGATAATGTTTCCACAATTTGTTGACACAGAAATACATACTCTTCTAATAGATTGCATACAATTTTCAACTCCACTGACTATAGCGCATTTTTAAAGTATACTTTCTCAGAAAGAGTAGTCTGACGAAAGCTTCTCGAAAGATGTGCTTCATGTAAAAGTAAATAGATTATCTTAGTGGCGTGGAAAATAATTATGTTCTCTTCAGTAGGGGTCAAAATCTCCCAATTTCCACGCTACTGGTATACACTCAAGTACTACTCCCAAAATATCTTTTTTTGGTTTTCAGTTAAGACCTCAACACCTTGCCTTTGATGAGACAGCATTTACAAACGCATATTTATAAGAAAGTTTCATATAATTTTTTGTCCTACTTTTCACTCCAGAAATACTGCTACAATCTTCTAGATCACCCTGCATAGGTGCAATGTAATATAATATAACGAAGTTACATTTTCTAAGGCAGTCTATACAATCTCAAAAAGTACGAGTAAGACAGTCGTTGATTCATCTGAAGGTACAAAAAACTACAGCAAACCTTAACCTGTAGTTATATGAGTGACAGACTTCTTTTTATGACCAAAGTATCAGGTGAGAGTCAAAAGAAAATCACACTTTCTAGAATGCCACTAAGAAGCTCTATCTCAATACTAAATTTGGAATATGGCATAAAAAGTCAAGTCCTTTCCGAAGACTTTAAACTATTATTTTATTGGGTACATTGGTCATAGAAAGAATGTGCTTCTATTTCGAGAATCCTGCTAAATATTAGCATTCCAGTCAGATGGCAGACTAATTTTTTTATAAAAGCACAGGGTAGTTTAAAAGAAACTATTAAAAGGAGGTCACACATTTAAGCAAGCTTTGATATATCGCTCCACTAAACTTAAGCATGAAATCACGACCACCATTTTTCGTTCAAACGTGAATTCTGGAACAGCTATTTTCTACATCATTCTATTCAGCCAAGTGATACATGATTCATGCCAAAGTTTAGGATTTTGTATACATTATTTTTTTTTGTATAGATCATCAGCACGCCATTCAAAGTGTTTCATTAACATCAATATTTCTTGCAAATATATAAGGATGATTGTCCCTAAACTATACTTCGTGAACTTTAGATTACAGGTTTCGTTAACCTTTGGCAACTCCAAGCAACCGCCATAAAAAACAAGTGACCCCCTTTCAAACACCCAAATTTCTTAAGACATCCAAAACATTATTTTTACAAATCGGGGTTTCCATTCTTCCTCCTGACATACTTATTAAAGTAATCCGGCCTCCAGCATTTGCAAGATCCTGGAATCAGGAACCAATCGTAGTAAAGCCTGACTTGGAAGCAGCCCAATGCATCCACGCCGTCACATTGGGGAGGCTTTTTCGTCGTCGTTTGGTCCATCGAGTGTGGAGGGAGACCCGCTCGCTTCTGAAGGTACTGTTGGTAGTTCTGTGGCAGAAACAGAAACAATTGGAATATTGACATCAACGATATGTTATGATAGTTTATTGTTGTTAAGGTACATGGTGTGATGTGAAATATAAATATATATATATATATACATAAGTATAATAAGAAATAAGAAACAATACATTATAAATAAACAAAGGCAACAGCTTAGACAAAAAATATGGAAGCGATGTCAAAACCAAGAAGTCGTAACATGTATTTTCGTGGATGTCATGGAAAGCTCTCGGCAAAAGAAAACTCTTTATAAACACACTAAAAGCGTCAATAAGTAGAGCTTCTGTCTGGTAGGTATTAAAAAGTTTTAAGCCAAAAGTGTTAACGCAATTACCATATTTAGTGATTCTGTGATGTTTTATGTGGTAGTTTGACTTATTTCGAGTATTGAATGAATTGATTTCTTGGTGGGTTGCATACGCGTGAAGTATTCTCTTCAGGGATCGCTCTATTTCAGGTTTTCTATGTGGCTAACACACCTCCTCTGCAAAGCAAAAACTGTTCATATGTGGTAATTGACCTCATGCTAGCATAGCATATGTATGTCATATTTACTATGAAAATATGGGTGGTAACAGGATAAAAACTTGACGATTACGAATCAAATAAACAATTTTTGTTAGCGATTTGCTAACATAATGAATGTGTTCATCCGAGTTCATCCAAGTTTAACTGTCTCCACATGGTTATTAGCAACATCATGTTTCCGCAGAGTAATGGTCATGAATAGGGTTCTGTTTGAATTTACTCTAATCTTGTTGGTTGCAAACCATTCAAAAACGTCCGACTTACAAGCAGAAGACACATTATCCAAGTTGGTAATGAATTTGTGAGTCGAAACAAGTGTTTGATCGGAGTATAGAACTGCTTCTTATTGATATTGTGGGAAAGGCAACTGGGCAAGTCATTTACTTAAGTATGATAAGAATTACATAGGGCTGAGGACAGAACCTTGTGGAACACCATGGAAAACAGGGTTGATTTAGTATTGAGGAGTTAGATAACATAGATGATTAAATGATTAAACAAAAAGTTGTGCCCACCCATCATGACGAAATTTAGCAAACGCAAATCTTATGGAATATTACAGGGTACTGTTAGAAAAGTTTGACGTTATTATAGCGTATGAAAAACGTTCATATAAACTTGTATAAAGTGCTTGAGTTATTGAGATGGGTTTTGGTGCAAGATGATGTATTTCAAAAGGTAGCAATAATATGTCCAAAACTATTTTCTTACATCGGCTGTTCAGAGGCAGCAGCGGTGGCCGCATTGGTAGTCTCTTCGGTCTCCTGATACGTCGCCGTGCGCTGTGCGGGTTCGAATCCCATCCCCAGAGAAATTTTTCTTTTGGCTATGGATATTGTGACTGTCCGTAGGTGGTAGAGGCTAGACGGTCTCTGACTGCGAACGCAGAGGTAGCACCCGGCGGATCTCGTAGGCGGCACCAGAATGTGTGCATGTACACGTGTTTGCTCGCCGGAGTCTATGTGGCGTCCCCCCTTTTCCCTGTTTCCCCCATAGCACCACGGTACCCGATGGGTGTTTAGGTCTTAGGCCTTCGTGATAATTGGAGTATATAAAAAAATACCGACAAGTCTCTATCTTTGGAGAAGAAACCATACACCAATGGCTTTTGCAAGAATTTAGTACCAGTATCTTAAAGTCAGGTTGAGTCTACTTAAAATCCATCTCTTGTAGTGTTTTAGAAATATACTCATTGTTGTGCCAACCAATACATCAATCAGTCTGTTTATCGTTACTAAAAAAGTGCATTTGAGCTGGCACTTGATAACATATCAAAAAGTTCCAGGCACGCTATTTTTCGTACACTCCACAGCTTTAGTCATAACGGAAAGGCATTGCACGTTTTTTTTTTTTGAAGGAAAAAGACTCTATCCTATAGCCAGACTCAGGCAGAAAAGCTCGACAATATCGTTTTTTCCGCCTTCCCTACCCGAAGTGTGAGATTGGCCAGAAATGCCGCAGTAAAACTCATCAGTCCACCCCACCATGGTAATGCTTGCATCATTTCGTCAGGGTGGGTAGCGTTGCTCCCAGATTTTATACCGTCGTCCATAAACTCGTGCGTATATGTATGTGTATGAGCTATTGTTCATTTCTTGACGTGCTTTGATCATCCTACACCTTGATCAGCATCATTCACCTCACATCTGATTGTCAATTTGTTTGCCCACGATTATATACCTGGTACAAATGCCAAGCATTATTTCCAGCTTTATCTGTCTCTCCAACCATCTCACACACTAGAGTAGATGATAGAATATCCTCCCCGTCATTGCAACAAACGCGGTTTCCGTATTCTCTTTTTCCTATTCGCTTTAGGTAGCTGTTAAAAAGGCATGCCCTGTGAGGAAATCATATCTACATGGATACATCATAGCACATTCGGAATATGTGAGGTGGTTACCACTTCGAACGAAGAAAAGACCGAGGTCGTCATGAGTTGGCTACTTACCTGAAAATCTTGTACCGACGGAGGTTGAGAAGCAGCAACTGGACTTCTTTGTGGATTGGTTGTATCACTACCAGTAAGAATTGTGTCTGGATAGAAGATTTCGGCGACCAACAAGCTTGACCATCTTGGTGAAGAAAGACAACCTCCGTCTAAATAGTGACACTTTGCTTGAAGACATCTAAAAAGAAAATGATAGTTAGCAAAAGATATTCCACCTTCACCGTTAATTTTTTTGAGGAACCAATGAGTGCAATAGAAAACTGCTCTCAGTTCTGGTGATGTAAGAATTTTATGTTCAAGAGGTTTCTGTACCTTATGTCTTGCTAGGTTGGAAGCTATGAACTGTATGTTAGCGGGGTCACTGTTAAATGAAAATCACAATAAATTTTATCAAATAGAATTCTAATAGTAATGTATCATTCCTACTTAATATTATAAATGCGAAGGTATGGATGTTTCGATCACACAAAAATGACTAATCGGATCTGGATGAAATTTGGTACCGAGATAGACTATAGTCTGGAATAAAACAGATGCTACCTTTCATCCCAGGTATAAGTTTTCAAGTGCTGCTGACCAGACAACTCAATCGGATCCGACCGAAATGTTAATGCGTCATGCATTTACTGCATCTCGACTTTTGTGATCGTCTTGGTTTAAATTTTCTTGGTGTAATGTTTTACTTTAAGTATAATAATGTGAATATTGAGTTATTTGTCATACAATCTTTAATGATGCTAGGCGGGCAAGATACATTATATGTTATTTAGCAAACTCGAATGCTGTGTGATCCGGTATCTTCGTCTGCATATGTAAATATAATTGTATATCACTCTATCCGATCAGTCAGCATCACATCTGAACTACAAAAGAGGCAGACGTAAATGGGTGCACTTGCGGATTGGTACCTGGGAAAGGTTATATGTATGGTTTTATCCGCGAAAACACGTCTTACTAAAAATTATAATAAGCTATTCGGATTTTTAAAATCCAAGAAGTACTATGCGAAAGACATTTATTTATGTTTATAGTAAAAATAAATCCAGAAAACATTATATTCATAAATAAATACTGGTTTCCTATTAATTTAACGAGAAATCCTGCTTGGTCTCAAATTTCGGCTTACTTTTTCTGGAAGCAAATTTAGCATAAGTCGAACCGTCTCTTGACTTTTAATCTCAAGCTGTCATCGTAGCTATTGTAGCCATTTGAACAGACCACCCTACCGATTGACTGTGATTTTCACTTGTGTCCTGTTCCGCTCGTAACATATTGGTAACATTACGCTTAATATCTTTTATAGTTACAAACACATTGACCTTGTACGATAGCCTTTTACTCACTATGAGGGTTAAATACATCACGAAAGGTCCAAAAGAAGGGGCAATGCAGTTTCTCATAAATAATGACGCAAATAAGTGACTTTTTTTGATTGTGCTTACCTACCAAAAAGTAGGAACATGACTGATGCGAGAGTAGGGGAGACTAGGGAGGGTTGATACGTGAGGAGGCTTGATACACCTTCAAATTTCCCGCCTCGGTTTCGTAAAGAATGCTTAGCCCCGTGCAGGCCGATTGTGAGTGTTGAAACAGTAGCTGATAGAATCTCGGAACGATCGCGTGTTGTTTGGCAGTTTTTGAGGTTATAGTGTGTTTTATACCTATTCGACGTAAGTTGTATTATACCAAACGTAAGGCTTTTGCTGTTTGATAGGAAAATTAAGAAAACTCTTACGTATTATGCCTCAAGCGCATTTGATTTACAATACTAGGGCACCAGTATCGATCTTTTAATCAACTGTTGTAATACCTTTACGTTATATATTTCATAAAATTATCATCCCGGGAGGTTTGATACTTTTCGTGTCGGGAGGGTTGATACGTGTATCAAACCTCCCTGTATGAACTGTATTTATTTTTTCATATAATTTTTCATTATTTATGTGGTTTTCATGGCAATTACATAGGCTAATTGAGTATATTGTTATAGATGCCTTTTAAGTGGAAATCCAAAGGCCGCACGAAGTATTCTCCAGACGATTTAAAAAGCGTAGTGCTTGAAGTAGTGAATGAAAATAAAGCACTTAGGACTACTGTCAGAAAGTACAATGTTGATAAAATGATACTGAAAAGATATATCTTAAAATACCAGACGGATAAAAGTACCACCTTTTCACCAAGTTTTGTCACTTCGCAATTTTTTTCATCTGATGAAGAATCGCTTTGGAATATTTGCTCACTTCTGCAAACCTTTACTATGCCCTTACGCCTAAGCAAACAAGGAAGTTTGCGTATTAATTTGCCCGAGCAAATAATACAAAACTACCAGAAAACTGGAAGAAAAACGAATGTGCTTCCTACGATTGGCTAAAAGGATTCATGTCACGTCATCCCCAATTATCACTGAGAAGTCCTGAAGCCACTTGCTTGGGCAGAGCGACTGCGTTCAATCGACATAATGTGCAAGTATTTTACAAAAATTTGCGCAATTAATTGGAACGGGAACCTTTTGGTCCAGAATCCGTCTATAACTTAGACGAAACGGGAGTGACTACTGCGCACAAACCTCAAAAGATCATTGCTCGTAAACGCATTGGGAAATTCTGTGCCTCCATTTTTTATATTTCCTCGTGTAAGAATGCAGGATTACATGATCCAAGGTGCTACTCCAGGCTCCATTGTTGTGACGAATGAAAGCGGTTGGATGACTGCTGATAATTTCGTAAATTGTCTAGATCACTTCATAAAACACACAAAATCTTCGAAAGAAAACAAATGCATATTGGTCCTTGACAATCACGAGAGCCATATTTCACCCAAAGCCTTAGAAAAATGTAAGTTAAATGACATGCATTTATTAACCTTACCACCTCACACAAGCCACCAATTACAGCCACTAGACGTATCGGTATTTGGTCCGTTGAAGAGGTATTATAATGAACAGTCAGATTCCTGGATGGTCAGTCATCCAGGACAAACAATTTCATTTGAAAAATGTACCGGAATTAGTTGGATTAGCTTATGTCAGGGAGTTCACACCTTCAAATATTCTCAACAACTGGAATCCATCCTTTCAACCAACATTTATTTGAAGATCTCGATTTCGCAGGAGCAGAAGTTACAAATAGACCAAATCAGGAATTAGAGTAAAATTCTGAAAAAGAACTTGTTAGAAATGACCCAATAGCTCAACCTGGCACATCCATATCTGAGCAGGAGTCAACCTCGCGTCCTGGCACATCTTCATTATTTGAACAGAAGATAACTTCAAATACAAAGAACACTTCTTTAAAGGGCAGCACTACTAACCAAAGCATCACATCTGGTTTATTGAAAAGTCCCGAGGAAGTACGTCCTTACCTCAAGGCACTGCCACGATTGAACAAAGGAGGCAGAAAGCCTGGCCGGACCAGAATCTTAACCGACACCCCGGAAAAAGAAGCAATTGAGGCCGAATATAATATGAGGGAAGAAAAGAAACGGATAAAAACAAAAACTCAACAGGTTAAACGAAAAATAGGTAGTTAAAATGAAAAAAATCACTTCAAACAACTCAATGCCGAGAGTAGTGAAACCCACCCCAAAAGAAAAGTTTTGGATAGAAATGCAAAAATGGAAAGACCTGTGTTCGATGATTCGGATTCTGAAGACGAAAACGAAAAGTATCTATTTGCTGATGCAGATGACGATGACGATGCCGCTTGCATCTACTGCAATTCACTATTTTCAGCGTCTCGTTCTCGCGAACAGTGGATTCGTTGCCAGAAATGTCTAAAATGGTGCCATTCAGCCTGTGCAGATGTCAAGACTAATATAAAAATGTTTTCTTGCGAATTATGTATTGATTAGTTAATGTTCTAATAATAAAAGATTGCAGTCCTTCTAGTGTTTTATATTTAATTTCTTATTGTATCAAACCTCCCATTCAGTGTATGGAGGTTTAAGACACTGAGAATATCAAAATTGTATATTCAAAGTTAAACTATTTCTTTTCAGTAACCTAATGTTGCCAAATTTCTAAGCGAAGTCATTTAATTGAGCTCTGACATAAATGGATTAGCAAATGTTAATCACAGAATGTTTATTAACATTTTTGTAAAAAACGTATCAACCCTCCCTAGTCTCCCCTACCGTTCGTTCATTGATTAGAATTGGCGGCAAGAAAGCAGAGCGAAAATATCTTTTATCAAAGATTTACGATTCATCGAAATACAATGCAATACAATAATCTGTCAAGAAGAAAGTTTCGTTGGACTGGTAATTATAGCTCTTGCAGTGCTCGAATTTCGCAATAGATGGTGCTGTAAAGTATTTCGAGACCTTATACCTCTAATAGGGTTTACTCTACTTTTGTTCATTGCCCTATCTAGAGACCTAGATCGTGCTAATGATGAGCAACTATCATGAAACATCGTCATTGAAGGTATTGTTGGAACTAAGCTGGTTAAATGAAATATGTCGTGCTATAAATGCCGTTGAAATAGTACTATAATCATCGACATAGAGCTTTCGATCTACATTTGTCATTAAATGAACGATTTTCAAGATTATAATAGGTTTGCGAGTGCTGTACCACTTGAAAGAATTGAACAATATTGTATAGGCTTTCTAATTGTATATCAATAAAACATACCTTTGCTATTACAATACAGAAAACAAATATTTTTTTTGATTCACCTACGTACATGTTCACTTGAGTTCATGGATATATCTCATCCAACATGTTAACGCATAAAAATGTATACTGAGAAGAACATAATCCCTCCACCTTATTATAGTATTTCTATTATTTTGGCTTACGTACCTAGTAACTTCAACAGTTTGAGTGAAGTATCCTTCGTAAGGTATTTGTACAACGTATCTCCATACTCCTTGGTAGTTTTTGGCAAACACAGGCGTGGCATACTCGACCTTGGCTGGACAAGGCGTTGGTGGGCCTTCATACCTAAAAAATAATGGTGCAACGTACAAAACAAACCAAATATTGCATTAATTAAAATAAACCAGCACATATTTGTATTAGAGAAAAGTGTAAAGTAGGTCATTGACAATGAAATGAAAATTACAAACAATTTTAAAAGGTAGACAATGGTCGAACTAGAGACCTTCAATCAATGTTTAAAGTTTCTTAATGCGGAGCTCCCATTTTAGTCTCCCGTTGTTACAAGCCAACAAAAATAGTGTCAAGTAGGTTGACTCTGCACTTTTTATACAAGTTTGGCCATCTGGACAAGAAGTTAGGTACGAACATGCATAGCACGGAAATCCAACGGATCAAGTAGGTTAAACGATTCATAGATATTCTGCCCTACCAGTGTACTGTCAATTTGTGAACGTCGCTCGCCCCGATACCTGATCGCACGACACGTTAGACGAAGTAACGCGGGACAATGGCAATAATATCAAGTCACTTATCAAAATCGGCACACCCGTTGGTGAACCAAGTCAGCTGAAGCAGCGACGGGTTTAGAAAACATTTCTCCATCCAGGGTTAAACACAAACGTACGAGGAAATCTATGTGCGAAATACGACAAATAGGTGGGTAGAATTACTAAGCTAACATAAAAAAATCGAGATATACCCTCTCCCATCTCATCCAACCCCCAGCACCCAATGTTTAACCCCTACAAAGATCATTTCGCAAATGATCAGGAGCATCTGGAATTTTTTTTAAAAAGGAAGTTTGAGTGGTTTATATTATTTTAGTTTTTTGCCCCGTGGCTCTACGAGTATGCCACCGGTCCTATTTTCAAAATTGCAAAATTTGTTTCTCTTTGGGACCTTCAAAATTGACTTTCAGAGCATCTAGTTAACCTCATTGAAACACTGAGTTTGGCTTTTTAGTTTACCCGCCCGATTCTTTCACGGCATTGGTTTTGGTTGAAAACTCTAAAGCATCTAATGTCCATATAACTTTCTACGCTACTGGCAAAGATGCGTTATAATTCTGAAAAATTTTGAAAATGAGTTTGTTTTTTGTACTCCAACTACCACGAAGGTCTAAGGACTAAAAAACACCCATGGAAAACACGTGTGCATGCAACATGCACACATTCTGGCCCCGTGTACGAGATACACGTTCGACAGTGAGAAACCGTCTTCCACCTACGGACAATCACAACATATCCATAGCCATGAGAAAAATTTATTTTGGGACAGGATTCGGTCCTGCGCAGCGCACGGCGACTGATCAGGAGACCGAAGGGTCTACCACTGCGGCCATCGCTGCTGCCTTAGCAAGTATAATATTTCTTGATGTTATATCAGATGTACATAGCGAAAAAATCGGTCGGTTAGTATATCTATCGGCCTATCTATCTGGGCTTTGGCAAATCTATTACTCGAAAAGTGCCGCTCCGGTTTTTAAAAATGGTTTCGCAAGAGGTTAATGCTGTGAAAATCGGTATAGCCGCAGTGGAGCTACAGTTAAAAACAAAATAAAAAAAGTCGCTCAAACTTATTTTTTTGACGCTCTAGGGCATCCTCAACATTTTCAGAAATTCGTAGGCTTAAAAATTGGATGTTGGGGATTGCAGAGGGTGGGTAGTCGGTACTTTCGGCAGGACGATAGGCTAGATCACAATCTTGTCAAATCTATGGGGACTATGGGCTAATTGTACGAGACTGTTTGACAGACATGATCCACATATTCGTAGCCAACGATTCTCTAAGACGAACTAACTTGTGCCCTTTGTCAATTGATTACATCGTTTATTAGAAAGTGCAGAGTCCACCAACGTGTCACCATTTTCTATTGTATTTGTTATCGGCAAACGAAACTGTGTACACTGAGGTAATTGGGGACTTCAAGTTTGAATATGCACATCAAAAATGCCAAACTATCACCAAGCCTGACTTACAGCACAAAAATAGGACTCATAGTCCCTTCCTTCGGTCCCAGCGGACTTATGCCTATATTAGCTTTTATAGATTGAGCTTTGAATATTAAATCTATGCACTTTAGATTATAATGATAAGTCTGTGGTGATTTTAAAAACATGTAGGTACATTTACATTAACGCTCACAAACTAAAGACCTAAATGGGCTGGACCCTCCACCACGCATAGTTATATACATATCTCCATTAACCAGATTAATAGAAAGTAGTAGTCCCTTACGAACAGTGTGGCACAGCTTTCGTCGAGAGCGCATGTTTCACGCGCATGCTAACGACCATGAGTTGCGCAACGTATTGTAGTTCATTTTTTAGTGTGGGAAGGCGTTAAAAACAGGGAAATTTTCCTGCGTTTGCGAAATCAGTTCGGTAGCGAGTGCCTCAGTAGAGCTGCTGTGTTTAAATGGGCCAAACCGTTCTCGGATGGCCGCGAAACTGTCGAGAATGAGCCGCATGATCGTCGACCGCGAACCAGCATCACACCAGCCAACAGTTGGGCACCCAACGTTCCATCAATGCTGCATACTGCTCTAACCTTCTGGAAACAGACGTGAAACCCGCTTATTGCTCGAAACGGAGGAGCATTCCAGTAAGAAGTGCGATTTTTTCCAGGATAACGCGCGCCCTCATATTGCGCGCCTCACGCTTGATACAATATTAAAATTGGGGTGGGAGGTACTGAAACACTCCCCTACAGTCCGGATTTATCACCATGCGACTACCACATGTTTGGACCACTGAAAGAAGCCCTCGGACGTCAAAATTTCAACACCGACGACGAGGTAGAAGGGTTCGTGTGCACATGGCTATCCGAGTTGCCCAAGGAATTCTTCGATACCAGCATCAAAAAGCTTCCGGAAAGGTGGACAAAATGCGTAAATAATTTTTTTTATCGTAAATAAACGTGTCAGACCATTTGTCTCGATCATATTTGTACCACCTTCGTCTATATATGATTTTTAGAATCAGTAAATGCTTCGTCCAGCATTACACAGGTAGATTTCGAGTTCAAAATTCAGCAATGGTCTATTGAGCATTAAATGTTGGACATTTTCGTTTATTTATCATTTTACCTACCATGTGATTATCTAAGTATATACGTATTTAATTATTGGTACCTCAGTTGTGTAGATGGTGCCTCATCCCTTCTCTCCAAAGGCATCTGAGCAGAATTTTTGCTGGTAGGCACCACGGGCTCTCCATTTATTGCTTTATAGATCAAGCAAAGTACCCCTCCGTTGTCACAGAACTTCTTTGGTTGCCTGTCAGTGACATTTTTGAGATCTTCTGAAGAAACTTGAGTTGAGTTTGATTGAGATTCTGAGGATGTAGCTTGATCACTTCTCTTTACTCTGCCATATCTGTCATTCGAATTTGCGATTCTGCAACATGCAACAGATATTTATAGTCTAGAAAACAGAGAAAATTAGTTGTTTGTTATTGAATAACTGCGAAATATTCGGTTCAAAAAATCTGAAAGTGACTGACTAGCAGATCATTTTGATATAAATGTTTTATCAGTCAATTATCGGTGTATAGATTTTCATTTATTCTTTCTATTAACTTAGCACTATTTTAATAGATTATATTGATAAACCTAAGTCACACCTCTAGCAAAACTTATACGTATGATGTAGTGTGAAAAATCCATTTCAATTATCATTGTTACACCATGTATACAACCACTGGCACTCTAGAGCCATTCGTCTCGGCTGGTTGGAGTCCAAATCACAGGAGACTTGATCTGGCTCGAGCATATCTCGTGAATCGCGGCAGATGCTGGAAACAAGCTAAGCTATAGACTTATGGGAAGTACTTTTCTCGAGATATCCTCTTTACTTTGTACAAGGCCAAGCTAGGACCTAGACTCGCGTACTGCTCACGTGTTACGGATGCTGCCACCCTTACTACTTTACAGTCTCTGAACCCTTTCGCAATGACGGCGGTAGGGGATCTGGCTGTCTTCTATCGATGTGTCAAGGTGATTTGCTCCTCAGAGCTCTCCGCCATGACGCCGCTACATGATAAATCTATCAGACAGATCCGAACTTCGTCCGTTCAGGACCGGCAGGTACGACCGCTCCTTTGTTCCTAGGGTGACGAGATTGTGAAATAATCTGCCTGAGGAGGCTTACCAACTCTTATAGCTCCTTATAGCAGCTACGGTGCCCCGGTATTTCGGCTAACGCGTCTGCCCTGTTATAAAAGAAACTTCTATGTGAGTGTTGTGGTATGATTTACCCATAAGAGCAATGATGAAAGAGAACCTCCCAATGTGGTGTGTAGTATAGAATGCCAGAAACTTAATACCCGCCCGTAAGTTGATATCTAATAACCAACTCTACAGGATGCTACTAACTACTTAAAGTAACTTCTCGTGTTGAAAGGGAATTATGCACTCTGGTATATAATGCTTTCATGTAGGATATCGGTTATCATAGCGAAGTATATGGCTTTACGTGATCGTTATTACTTCAGAATATTGCATAGATTGTCGTTTATCAAAATCTTAAACGAAAACTTAGTCTATCCGTGAATTTTGAGGTTTGGAAGAGGAAGGTACATTACGTTTGAAAGGGTCAAATTAGCAAGCTGTAATTAAACACTTTAAATGGAGTGGGGTTGTGTGGCTCCTGATTTTGGAGGTCCTTGTGAGAACCTTACGACCCTAGAATATGAAAGTATCATCTTTGAAAAGGGCTTACTGGCAGGTTGTCAAAGTTTAGCGTTTTTGTAAATTGACTCACATATAACTCATCGACCACTAATCAAAACGCTATAATATGTTGTATCATTTTTCTCATCTGACGAAGGTATATCGGATATATTATTTGAATATTGAGTCTCATATTTTATTGCACAACCAAATAAACTCTTCGAAAAGAAAAAAATTGATATGGCGTATTATAACGTTTTGATGATCGGTTGTTGTGCTATAAGCGATTCAATATGCAAGAACATTTTTGACAGTTGCCCAGTTCGCAATTTTGGAAGATAGTGATTGTATCTTCTAAAGTAAGAAGTGACTCGTAAGGAGGCTCAAAATGACTACACGCGATACTCCATTCAAAAGAATTGGGCATTTTGGAAATTTTAACTGCCTGTTTAGTAGTCATCCATCATTGTCATTATCCTGAATTCCAGCCTGCTAAATGCACCCGTTCCAAATATAACTGGGGTGGACCTTGTTGTAAAGCCCTGTATAGTCCCTTAAGTAAACAATATCATGATCGGGAGGCTCTTTAATGAGTATACGACTTTCAAACACTATAGCTTAGGATATAAAATGCAGTCCCAGTATTTCTGAATGAGGCTTCCTCTTGTCAGAAAAAATACAAAGCCTTTGCATATAAAGCTGCATAATTTGGTTACGTTTCCACAGTTCGTGGTATTTCCACCATATCATTTTCTTTGGGTCAAGAAAAACGCAGTTTCAAGATGGTTCTGATCGATAACACACCATTATGGATTACGGTAGTCTTATGTGGCACATTAAATACGTTTTTCTCGTGCGTCACGCCACAACATCAAGGAGCCCTATTAAGAGGAGCGTTCAAATGTATGCAGTACGTTTCACGGGCATTTCACAGCCAGAGCGTCATAAAAAAATAACCGCCATAGGAGTGGTGATTAAGAGGAAACTTTTCAGATTTAAGTAAGTCATGTAAATAGTTAAATAACACGTTTCCGATAAGGATTGATGACAAATGCTATTTCTTTTTATGAGCCAAAAATATCACTCTCCAGCAACGTATCCTAAGGTAGCTTGCATTAATTTTGATTGCTTCTACTAGTTCCTTATTATCAATTCTATTGCCTTCACGAATGCCAGAAGTTCTTCTGACCAACGTTACGTGACATATTGACTGTATGTGACGGAAGCCACGAACGTATTAATTAATAGAATATCCATCAGCAAAGCTAAGAATCAAATACTTACAGTTTCACAGAAACAACATATCAAATGCCTTGAATTCTTTAGATGATAAACTTTGCTAGAATGTACATATATAACATGTCACCAAGAAGTTAAGATTTAAACTGTAGAACATGTAAATATTTTATACAGGGTGGCCGATATGCAACAGACTAGTTTGTATCTTGAATATTTGTGAAATGAAATGAAATACGTCCATTTTTTTCATCTTAATATTTTATTGAAACTTAGAAATTATGTATGAAAGATAATATCAGACAAATGTTCGCCTCTAGAAGCCGCGCAAACCTGATCCCTCTTGATGACATTATTCATCACTTTTTGGTAGGATTCGGGAAAAATATTTCCAATCGCTTCCGTAATATTGTTCTTCAACTGCTCCACAGTATTTGATTTGTTCGCATCAACCCTATTTTCCAAAAATCCCCATAAAAAAGTCAGGAGCCGTGAAATTCGGTGACCTTGGTGGCCAGTTGACATCACCAAATCAACAAATTAAACATCTCGGAAATATTCTTCGCAAAAGATTCATTTTTTCCCTAGCTGTGTGACAAGATGCTTTGATCAGGAACCACATGTTTTTCAGGTTAAGTTGTTGAATTTGAGGGGCCACAAAGTTTTGCACCATATCACGGTAGCACTCGCCAGTGACAGTAAGAGAATTACCTGCAGCGTCTTCAAAGAGGTAAGGTCCAATGACACCTCCATACCAACCACACACACAGACACACACACACACACACACATATATATATATATATATATAGGTGAAAAATTAAAGCTTCCGCCTTTTGTTGGGTACTTCGACAAAATTTAAGCAAAGAGGACTCTTTATACTTTTTTTAATTCTCTCTAGCTTTCAATGAACTTTGCCATCATCATCAGGAGCTGCAATTACAATGATAACAGTAGCAACAAAAGTGTAAAATGAATTTAAATTGAATCAACTTACAGTAGTATGTGAGGATGTTGCTAATTGTTGTTTTCGTATAGGATGAGGGAGACGTCCAGTAACATGGTGAGAGCTGGATACATGGTACAATGGTTAAAATTATATAAAATATGACAAGACAAATTAAAGACAGATTAAAAATCATTTAGAAAACATTAGAGCATTACGTCGTGAAGCCACTTGATGATTGCACAAAATGGTGGTCATGGAATAATGAGTGAGATGAACTTTTGACAGAAGGCCGAAGGTTGTCAATGTCTGTGTTGAAAGATGGAACGAATTGTGGGGGTGTGCTAAAACGTTGCCAAATCACTTCAGATGATGTGATTTTCAGAATGTTATGTAAGAAATTGTTAAACCGACCAGAGGCAGTTGAATAAAATATATTTTAATTAATGTGAATTTTAAATTAACAATTATTAATAAATCGTGAGAAGAGAATTATTAGATTTTGAGTGGAATGAAATTTGTTGGTGGAATCGGTCAAAACACAGGTTATATTTATAGTTGTGAAAAGTCGAAATTTGGGGAGATATGTAAGTTCTCCAATTTTTCGCAGTTTAGCAAATATGAGTAAATGACACTCAGTTGTTTAATATCTGTCATTTTGTTGATACAGTTGTTATTCATGAAAATGTGGGACATTTCCAGGAATAAACGTTTGGAAAGGTGTTTTTCTTTATCAAGAACTTTGATACTTGTGTAATTCATAGAATGCCCTGTTGTGTTAACATGAGATGCTAGAGCGCATCTTTCAGGATGAAGCCTAGCATCACTTTTGTGTGATGTCATCCTTCCTTTAAGAGATCTGGAGGTCTGACCTATGTATATTTGGTTGCAGTTGTTGCAATTGATGGAGTAGACTGTGTTAGTTAAGCCAAGCAGCGGGACTTTGTCTTTCATTGGCTTTAAGGCGGAAGCTTTAATTTTTCACCTAACTGGTCTAGACGACAATGACCACGTCTCAAGTTATATATATATATATATATATATATAATTTGGGATCACATAAACTCCGTAGCTTTAAATAGATTTGTAGTAGTACTCCTAGTTCTTAGATTATTCTCAGTCACATACAAGTACACTATCCTTTTATGGTTTTCTTGTTGAATATACTCAATAAATTGGATACATTTTTGTGAATAAATTATTATTATTCCAGAAATGGGGCGGTGATTCTACTTCAAATTTTAGGATAACAAGGCAGTGTCACTCAAGTTTCATATACTCAGTTTTTAGAAATGTATATAAATTAGCTTCTAACGGAAGTTGAAAAACGTCATGTTTCTCGTATGTGACCATATAATCGTTATAATACAACAATAACTTAACAGTAGATTTCGTTAAAGCATTACAGAAACATGTGCCATGAAAAGTCCTTGACGATATATAGAAATCGCAGACACTTCTATAAAATATGACCAAACTCAGTTACTACCACTTTAAGCTATTGTAATAGTTGCTAACCCTAATCGCCCTCTTAATACGTTTTCTTATGCGGCACGCCATACGAAACGAATCAATTTAAAGGTCTGATTAATATGCTAGAAACGCCTCACTTACGTGTTCTGTGAAATAAGTTCGTCTTGCTGTAGCTGGGCCACCTTTGGTAACGTTTCGTCTGCTTTCAAGATCGGTAACGTTCGGCTGAGGTACCTCAAGGTCATATTCTTGATCAACTCACTGTAAAAATATATAAATTTAAAGTTAGCCTTGGGTAATTTGGATTTTGAAAAAGTCGAGTTTCAATCTGAGCCAGCTTTGACCAGCACTCATTCTTTCCACAGAATTCGGAATGGCTCAATTTTTTCTTCTCCAGCTTTCCTTTGGCACTGTTTTCATCAAAAGCGACTTGATTTTAACTCGGATTTGAAAATTGTATGGATTTTGCCTTCTGTCCGAAAGCAACTAGTGGGCAGCTGACGTCAGATTAAGAAATATAAATAGACAAATCGCAAATATGTGAGAAATCAAGCAATCGCCACGTACCAATGGATTACCAAGCTGGTTTTCAACCTCATCCCATTCGATGAACATGCCAGAAAGGACCCTGCGTCTTAAGGTTCATAACCCGACATTGTGCGCTATGTATAAATAGATGTGAGACACCACCATTACGGTCGACCCGTCAAGTAGTTGGAATACTAAGTATTCACGAAGCAAATCAGCAATGACTTTCTATGCATGTATGCATAAATAGGTACAAGTTGAAAAATACATGTTTCACGCTCTTTAGCAACTCAATACTGCGGTACAGGTGTAGTCTTGGAGATTTACGATGTATAGAAGTCAGTTTGGCAAACCATTGGTAGGCGGCGATCATGACATCTCTTGCGCACAATGTCTTTTTTTTCAAAAGACCATTTCCATATGTTTGCTTCCCGTTCGTCTGTCTCTAAGACTAGACCTATGCTGAACTGATGCGTTGCTAATGAGTACGAAACAACACCTTTACATCAGACTGAACATACTGCGTTTTTTCAATCCGACTCTCTTTATTGAGATCTCGGAAACGGTAACAGATACGAAGCTGGTTAAACAGAGCCAAAGTTGCGAATCTAGTTAACTTACGAGAAGGGGTCTCCAGGACCGGCACGGGTATTACGTATCGTGAAAAGTAACATTTTGTCGGTTTTTTACATGACGTAGGTCTTTTGTGACATAACGTAGGTTTTTCTACAAGATAGTTAACTTACCACTAGTGTCCACATGGACACTTGTGAACTCGTTTTGTAGTTATATGTATTGCCTAAATGTCATGATGCTTCAGTTATCTATGTTTGGCTCTTATGTGATGTAACGTCTGCTTCAGAGATGGCATTATTGGAGGTCTAAGGTGTAAGTTATATACTATCTAGGTGCATAGTGAGAATTTGTGTACTAATGTGTTGACGATAATTCTATTGGTTTCTTGTCTCAAATCCACTTATTTGATATTTGACCTAGAAATTTGTTGCACATCCACTTTTTCTCATTCACTCTGGAAATTTCATATGCTAATTTGCTGAATTTCAAAAACGAGAAAGATAATTAAAGAAAATACCTGGTTGGTGGAATAAGACGTGATAAAACATGTTACAGACAGGAATATTTATGAAAGTGATGTGAAAATGATGTGTGATGAGTCATTCCTAATTTTTCTGTGATGCGGCTTAACTGCACACAAGGCGGGCGCGATCGCGATTTCCTGTAATGCTCTTCAAAGAAAAACGGGAAAAGTCGTAATTTAGAACTTTGAACATAACCTGTCTTCAGAAAGGACAACATATAAGTAACCTGTCGGCCAAAGGTAATAGATATACTTCATATTCAGTAATGACTTTCTCACATAGTAAATATCACCGATTGTATACAAATGCAGACCCATACACATAAATAATCATCTAGATGCGATCTTGCTACTCAACCGATTTTCTTTCTTTCACATCTTCTCAGAGATGAACACTACAGACTACTTGGCTGCACAAAACATACCTATACTTGCTTTTTGCAACCAACAATGCGTGTCGTTGAGTCATTTCTTCATAGATGGACGCTCACATCGGTCATAGCGGCCAAGCGTTTAATGAACTTTTTGCACCCTAAAAACTACGTAGTCTGCAAGATGACGTTATGTCGATTTTTTGACGTTTTTTAGGTTTTTTACGTTTTTTACATAATATCCGTGTAGAGCACAGATTTCCGCCAAAACAATTCTGTAGGTATGTTTTGACCTCCCAACTCACGTTAGCCTTACCAGTACGTCGTTCAATGAACCTTAGTTCCAGAGAAATTGACCAATGAAATCGCCATAGTGATTTAATTACGTTAAAAAATACTGGTTATTATAACTCTTGACGTGGCGTGTGTGCTTTATTTTACTGAGTTCGTGGTTCGATTGATGGACCCGTTTTGTTCCTTAGATACTTTTTTATCGCTTGTGTTAAATTTTTTATACAGTGCTTTTCAGAGCTCCTCACTATTGAAGGTAGACTGATGAAATTTATGCACTTGAAAGTAACGCTTGAACATTTATTTTATACGAAATAGGGTGTCAGGCAGTACGTTATATTGAGAAAAAGACTGATAAAGCAAATGAATATTCTCTGAAGAACAAAATGCCAATAATGTGATATAGATAGTTGATAATGTAATATCATTACGGTTGACACAATAGCTGATCAAATGCTATTTGAAGAACAGCTATTCAGCCTTTTGTTTATCTCGAAAATCATTTTTGAAGCTTTTATATGGTGATAATGGGTATCATTCAGTTTTAGGAAGCGATAACAAGAATCCTCCAAAAAAGGCTGTGACCTTGCGGAAATTCTTCAGGCAGTCAAAATGAAAGTCATGAACAAACTAGTCTTACAGAAGTGGCTCTATACATAGTGCCTCAGTTTTTTCGTTATGATTACTGTCCAAGTTGCATAACATATATAAGAAGCTATGAGATTTAACAAAACACAAATAACAAAAAAAAATTATGAAAAATGACACGCACCCTTGATCATACATAGAACTAACTAAAGGTACGTACATAATAATATGCTACGTCGTGCACTCCAAAAACTAGTACATTTGAAAGTAATTAGATTACTATAACGCCCTTTATTGGCCAATTTCTCTTGAACTAAAGCGCATTGGACGAAATGGCATGAGGTCAAAACCTACCAACAGGATTGTTTTCGGACGGCATCTATGATCGTGTCTCCTTGTTGGATGAGTAAAGGTCAGAGTCGGGAAAAAATAAATAAAATGTATTTTTCCCAGCTGATCTGCGGAAACACTCTAATTATACTTGATACAGTTTCCTTAGTTCATACATATACAACTTTAGCCGCATTTAACCGGGCCCGTATCTGTTACGAGATCCAACTAGTGAGGGATTTTCTTCATGATCCAGTGAGCTTCTTGATATTAAGCTAGCTCGGAATGATAGAATATCGCAGTACTTACAATGGATATGGAGCTCCAAACACATTTTGCCCCATCGGGTTCCTCGGTATGGTCCCCCTATTCAAATCTCCACATAAAACCCTATGTCCATCTCCCTCGGGGCAGTCCATCGGCACATGGGTGTAGGGCGGAGGTCTCACTCTTGGAGGTTCCGCCAATGGAGACTCAACGAAGGCGTAGTAACCTTCTGGAGGGGAGTCGTCGTTGATGTTCGAGCTTGAGGTGGTTGTTGATGAAGTGGCTTGTAATCGGTGCAGTAGGAGAACTAGTAGAGGTACCTGAAACACATATTTGTTATAGTAGGTACTGGGAGTTTAAAATTCGACTTCAGCCATTGTGATCTCGGAACCGGTAAGAGATACGGAGCCGGTTAAGTGAGGGCAAAGTTGCATATTTAGGTAACTAAGAAAATGCCGCCTAGAGAGTTTTGGAGAGACAGAAAAAGCCGAATTTTTGTCTGACTATATTTATAGTGGGATTTCAAAATACACACTTTTTCTCCTCTATAAGGTGGGGGCAGAGTTCTTCATTTAGGTATTTATGGAAGTGAAAGTTTTTTTAATCCCGAGCATTTTCGCAAAGAGACAATTTTAAAATTGGTTTTATTTTTACCTCTCTTCATTTGAAATGCGATTCCAAAATAAAATGTGCATCAAAATTGTTACTTCTTCTAAGATGAAATATCGCCTCTTGTCCTCACTCATTAACTTAATTCTTTGTTATAGACGCTATATTGGATTTTTGCTCAGGTGTATTGAGTTTTTAATTGTGGTAAGTGTCCTAGGTTTTCATTGCCAAACCTTAGTTATTTTGCATAAAAATTAAGCGGTATAGTGCGACAATAGTTCTGAGTTATTGTTCGCGTACTCAAACGACCTTCGGCATTTTCAAGAGGATGGACGAAGGTGACGTGTCTAGTGTATTAAAGAACGATAAATAACCGCATGCTCACTTGTCGCTTTGGGGGGAGGGGTAGATGCCCTTCTGGGAGCGGGGATATATTACAGATCCATTCAAACGATCGTGACAACTCACTCTATGGATATGAAGTGAAGAAAAGTAAATCAACTGTCACCTGGAAGACACATAAACAACATGTACTATTATTATTGCCATTATACTTGAAAAAAAAAGTATAAGTATACGTTTCGTTGTGTGTACGCTACCGTATAGTGCTCCTGTGAAATCATCAGTTTTTAGTGGTAAATACCCATCTAAACGATCTGAAACTTACATCATATTGTTGGGGAAGAGAAATGCTATTTGTCAGAATGCTTGCCTGGTTCATCATATGGTTCTACGGTGCATAATTCAGCTTCTGAGATTGATCAAATTGTCTTCTTACAATTGCTAAGCTGATCATATGCAAAAACTGGTCCAGCCAGCGTGAAAAGGATCATTCTTTGGCTTCTTGAAATTCCATAACGTTGTAAGGACAGTGGCGGAGCCATAGCTAGCTTTGATCATGGAATGTTTAAAATGTAAAAAGTCGGATAGTTGTTCCTATTTATCCTGTGATAGCTGCGAGAGACCTATTCATTCAGAATGTTCCGAACTCAATGGATCTGAGCTAAAGGTGATGGCCTTAAAAGGCAAACGACTACTCAAGTTTTATTGTGACGATTGTCTTTTGGGAATTAGGCTGGTTCCAAAATTAAATCAAAAAGTTGATAATTTGATAAAGGAACTGGAGAAGCTGAAAAAGGAATCTCCTCCTCCTGCACAGTCTTCATCACAAATGGAGTATGAGGAGGTTCTTCAAGAAATTGAAGAGCGGAACCGTAGGAAACAGAATATTATTATTTTTGGACTTACTGAAGATCAAAGTAGGACAAAGCAGGAACAGATAGCTCATGATACTCAAGAGGTTAAAAGTATATTGCAGTCCCTTTCTACAGAAATTGATACCAATGTCAGACTCTTCAGGCTGGGAAAGTTTGATCCCACAAAGGATAGGCCTAGGCCGGTAAAGGTTTCTCTGCGGAACAATCAAGATGTCCTGTTATGCATTAAAAACTCTGCTAAGCTTACTCGTAGATCCGGTAACAGGAATACAAGAATAAGTATCTCTACTGACAGAACTCCAAAACAGCAGGAATTTTATAGAAAAGTCAAACATGAACTGGATCAGAGGATTGCTGCAGGTGAGAAGAACATCAGAATCAAATATGTACATGGTCTTCCAAAAATTGTTGCTAATTTAAACTGAATAGACCCAGCAGCGCTGAACTTCGAGCATATTATCAGAATGTTAGGGGCTTGAATTCGAAAATTGATGATTTATTTTCATCGGCAACCTTAAATGAATATGATCTAATTGGTTTAACAGAAACTTGGCTGTCCGACAAAGTACGTGACTCTGAAATCTTTCCTGGAAACTACAGTGTGTTTCGTAGTGACCGTGATTTTGTAAGAACAAATAAATTGTCTGGTGGGGGTGTATTGTTGGCATGTAAAACTAGTTCTCTGGCAGAGCATGTTTTTTTAGATTTTTCTACTGATTATCCTTCCATTGACATAGTTGCGATTAAGTGCAAGCTACCACTCACTCTGTTTGTTTATGTTATTTATATTCCACCAGACACTTCTAATGACACTGACGAAAGTTTTTTGTCACACATGAGTACGTTAATAATCAATCAGCCCAACGTTTTGATACTGGGCGATTTTAATGCCCCCGGTTTCGTATTTAGTCTCCATGCAGATTTTCGTTATACAACGCTATCAAATTTTTTAGATCTTACCAACACCATCCAATCTAACCTGATATTAAATGCGCTGGGGCGATTGCTGGATTTAGTCATCAGCACTGAAAGTGTACCATGTATTATTTCACGGGAAGTTATTTCTATTGTAAATCAAGTAGATCCTCACCATCCACCTTTAAGTATCCTATTTACCATACAGCTGTCTAGTAGGTCTAACTTGTCCCCAAATACTGAACCTACATCATTGATGTATAACTTCAAGAAGGCGTCCTATGTTGGCTTATATAATGCTTTGAGTTATATTGACTGGTCCTTTTTACGTAAAATTACTGATGTTAATGAACTATGCGATACATTTTATGTTAAAATTTTTTCAATATTTGATATTTATGTTCCTAAATATACCAACACCTGCAAATTCAGGTATCCTCCTTGGTATACTGGAGAAATTATAAGTAACATAAATTTGAAGGATTATTACTACAGAAAATATAAGAGAACACGCAATGTTTACCATTACAATGAATTTTCTAGATTGCGCAGAATCATAAAGGGGCGAGTTAGAGTTGCTTACAGTGAGTACTTGTCGTCGGTTGAGGACAGTATAATCAACGACCCGAAGATGTTCTGGTCATACATTCGGAATAAGAGAGACTGTAGCAGAATACCAGGCCAAGTCCAGTTCAACGGCAACGTATTCAGTACTCCACAAGGTGTTATTGATGCATTTGCCGACTATTTTAAGAGTGTGTATGTTACTCCTCGAAATATTCCCTCTTCTTTAGTTAGTGTCACTTCAACATCATGTATTTATCTAGAGGAATTAACGGAAGCTGATGTACTGAAGTCTCTCTCTAAGCTTCAAAATAAACTTACGTCTGGTAGTGATCAAATACCTAGTTTTATTATTAAAGATTGTGCTCATGTTTTCGTCAAGCCGATGCTGATAATTTTCAATGCTATATTAAAGAGTGGAATTTTTCCTGATGTTTGGAAGATAGCTAAGGTGTGTCCGGTCCTGAAAGATGGTGATAAATCTGATGTACTCAACTATAGAGCTATAAGCATTTTGAACAGCTTTGCAAAGGCTTTTGAAATGGCCATTTACTCTTTTATCTTCGTGAACGTTAAAAGCCTAATTACTCCATCACAACATGGTTTCATCAAAGGTAGATCCACTACGTCAAATTTAATGATAATTACGCAGTATATAGCAGAATCGTTAGACAAGAAACAACAAGTCGATGTTATTTACATGGATTTCAGCAAGGCTTTCGATAAATTAAACCATCATCTTCTTGTGGATAGCCTTCATTATTTCGGCCTTAGTGACTCGTTAGTCGGTCTTTTAAGCTCATATCTTTCTAATAGGACGCAATATGTTTACTATAATGGTTATTCTTCAGCAAATTATACTGTTCCCTCTGGAGTACCGCAAGGTTCAAACCTAGGTCCCTTGCTGTTTTTACTCTTCATAAATAGCCTAGTCGCTTCACTAAAGTGTGAATGTCTACTATTTGCTGATGATCTGAAAATCTACACCAAAATTACAAATTTGGAGAGCTGTATTTCCCTTCAGGACGATCTGCATAGCATCAGACAGTGGTGCGACAATAATATTCTCTTCTTAAATATTTCCAAATGTAAAGTATGTTCATATTGTCGTAAAATGAACCCGATTATGTTTGATTACTCCATAAATAATGCGGTTTTGGAGAGAACAACAGAGACTAAAGATCTTGGTGTAACATTTTCCTGTAGATTGGACTTTTCTGTCCATATAGCACGCGTCACTTCCGAAGCGACACGGATTCTGGGTTTCATAATGCGCAACTGCCGATCTTTTTCCAACGAAGCGGCACTAAAAGCTCTTTTTATTTCACTGGTGCGACCAAAACTTGAGTATGCCTGTTTGATATGGAACCCTTTCTATGCGTATTATATAAGCATCTTAGAAAATGTGCAGAGGAAATTTCTTAAATTCTGTGTTTATAAAATCGATGGCACATATCCAGAAAGGGGGGTCTCTCAATTTGTTCTGCTGCGTCGTTTTGAACTAGAGTCTCTACAGTTAAGACGTTCCACTGCTGGCCTATCATTCCTTCATAAGCTTTTGCACGACAGAGTGGATGCACCAGAACTTCTCCAGAGGTTAAATTTCTATATTCCTCGGTTAAATACGAGAAGAACTCTAACTTTCTACTGCAGTACCTCCCGTACAAATGTATTATTTTATTCTTCGCTACATTCTATATGCAACAATTATAATTCCATAGCAGACAGTTCTGACATTTATTTTGATTGTATCAGTAAGATCGTGTCGAATTTCAGGTACTATTATAATAGCTAGTTCTATTTTTTTAAATTAGTTTTAGGTATACATTACATGTATGAATTATAAGTAAAGTTACAATGATATTGTCCTTTAATTGGAATAGTTCTGTTGGGCAATAATGTATAAATAAATAAATAAATAAATAAATAAAAAGGCCACCGTGGTGGTCAAAATATCATAAACATGAGGCTAAACATACCGGGTGTTTCAAATTCGATTGAGATCTCGGAAATGG